AATGGAATATTGACTTGTATTTTGTTCAACATCTCCATAAAAATTTTAAACTGAGCCATTTCATTCTCCTTCTTAGGCATATTCTTTAGAATCGAGTAAGGTGGCTTAATGTAATAATGTAGCTTATTATTTGGTTCATTCAAGACCTATTTATTGGTTCTTCTGAAAGGTGAGTTCTTATCTATGAATTGGTCAACAGTGTATCCTTTAACTTCATCCTCACTAATTATCTTAATTTTTCTCCCTCGTAATTGTTCTCAACCTCTTCCTCGACTACCACTTCTTTTCTCTTCTTTTCCTCACCAACTTTAGTTTCTAAAGGTATCAGTCTATTTCTTATCTCAATGGATTGAGGTGTTTCATTTTTTAGGTTATTCACAGTGTTATCTATGAATCCTCCACTCGAACTAGCTTAGGCTTCCATATGTCGGTACAATTGACCAATTTGTATTTATAAGTTCTTTATCAAAGCTTCAACGTTCTTGTTCATGGAAATTTCATTTTGTGATGTCTCCCTTTGATTCTTAAACATGTCTTCTCTAGTTTTACTAACTCGCTCCAAACTTGATCGAGTTTCTTTCATGAAGTTGGACAAGGTTTCGTCTAAAGGTAATGGTTTGCGTTGAGGCACTTGGGGAACCTTTTGAACTCCTTGATTAAAATTCAAAGTTTGATTATTTCTCCACTTGAAATTCGGGTGATCTTTCTAATCAGGATTGTATGTGTTGGAATAAGGATTATTCTTTTGAAAATTTTCATGTTGAACTTCAGAACTTTCAACTACAACTGTACAGCTATCATTTGCATGCCCCTCTCCATAAAAATCACACTTTAATGTTTGAATTTGACTCACATTTTCTTGTTCTAGTTGGGACGCAACTAACTGTTTAGAAAGGATCTCCATCTGAGCTAACATGTTGTGTTCAAATCAACTGTATGAATACCTTTTTGTTTCAATGCTCGTTCACTTGAGTGACACTCATTATAAAACATATTCTCTATCATTGTTTTTAACTCTTCATTTGTCTTTGCTCTTAATGTACCTCCAACCAAGGTATCGAGAAGAATTCTCATTTGTACTTTCAGCCCACCAATAAAGTGTATTATTTGTTCCATAACACTCATATTATGATTAAGACACTTACAAAGTAACAACTTGAATCTTTCCCATGCATCAAATAATGATTCATACTCTTCCTGATCAAAGTTGGAAATTGTGGCTTTTCTCTCCATAAAAATGAGCATTTGAGTAATTCCTTTCAAAAAACTTGTCTTCTAGTTCTTTCTAGGTCTGAATAGTGCCATTTGTGATGCATTGCAGTCAATCCTTAGCGCAAGCTATCAGAGAAAAACCAAACAAGTGAAATTTTACCTTATCGCTAGTGATGTCATAGGCTGGCTTGTACATTGAGCATGTCTCATAGAATTTGAGGATATGCTCCCAAGGATCTCCAATTGCTGGCCCGCTGAACAGGTTCTTCTTCAAACCTGAAAGTACAAAATTCTTAATATCAAAAGTCACAGGATTTGCTGGTTGAAATCCTAAGGATATATGTCCAACAATAGTTCTCCTGTAATAATCTTCCAATGTTTATTGGGATGGAAATCCCATCTCTTATATTTCTTCGTTCGGTTCTTTGTTGTATTGATTCTCGTTTCTCTACGAGTTGCACACACCGTTATTTAGATTTATGGGTTGATCGATATCAGTTTCAAATGTGAAACTCACATAAACAAACAAACAATACCTTAGTAGTACCGTATCAAAACAAACATAATAAATGTAGAATAAAAATTGAAACTTTAAAAAAAAATTGACAAAACAAAACAAAAATTAAATTCAAAACTTCACACTATATTTCCTTGTTGAAATTATCAACAATCCCCTACAACATCGCCAAAAAATTGATGGACTAAATTAATAAGTGTATCAGTCTGGTCGAAGTAATAAAATAATTCATCTCCACAGGGATTGTGAAGTAAAATAAGGAAATGACAGTGTGAATCAAACTAAATAATTAGGGGTTTGATAGCAATTTGGTACAAAAATAAGAACGAGAAAATTAACAGATTAATGTTCGATGATGAAAGACAATTAGATATCTTATATTGAATCCTCTAATTATACATGTTGATGAATCGTGTATTAAAAGAATTACAATTATGTTAAAATATCATGGTGAATTAACAAGGTCATTGTGCCCAATTTCTCGCGATATAGTTCACTAATTTACACAATAATTCCCTAAATTATTAGGCCGATTCAGAGTTAAATTAGGCGTTCTAAGTTCCTTAATTCAAACGCCACAACCTATAATTACATATTCCTAGTTAATTACTAAGTTGAATAATTGCCCTAGATTAGATCACTAGACTTACAGTCAATAATCCCTACTCATTTGATATTGATTTACGTGCTTGTCAACACACAAAAAACATTAAGATCTATAATAATTAAATAATATTAATAACATAAAAGCATTCAATTAATCTCAAACAATTATATGATCCAACAGAGTACAAAAAGGTTCGTTTCAAAATGACTTAATCTAGAAAAGCTTAGCTACTCATAGAGAATTTAACAATTACCATGAGCTGATAAGAATTCTACATCAAAATCTATGGAAAATAAGTTGTCCAACGACTCCAATGCTCTCAAAATCATGCTACCAAAAGCTCATAATCATCAATTTTTGTCTCAAAATTGTAACACCTAAAAACCCATCCAAATTCTACATTTAAAGTTGCAAAACGTGTCAGGCTTTTTGCTTCATCGCGCCCGTGTTGGTTCTCATTTCGACCCTGATGCGATGTCATCGTGCCCACGATGTCAGCATCACGGTCGCGAGAATCATTACATTTTGGAGGACTAACAACTTCATGATATTGTAATGCTCTTATGTGAATCTAAAACTTGGGCTTGTTGAAGTTGCAAGTAGTTGATTAGAGACGTTATCGGTAGAAGAAATTATCTCTGGCTTATTCTTGAACTCGGATGGGTATCCATGTCTGACAAAACTAATCTCAATTGTGTGATTGGTTCCACCACAGTGAGTAGAGACACGATAGACTTTGAAAAAGTGGGCTTTCCCTTGAAATTAGAGTTCTAAGTTTTGTTTCCGCCATTGGATGAATTTGAATTGATTTTCGAAGTAGAGGTTGGCGCCATTGTGTAAAGTGAAGACAAATCTATAGAAGAAGGAGAAGTCGTTTCTCACTCATGTTGAATCACCAAATACAAAGCTCGATCAATATCCAATAAAGGGTGCATCATCATGATTTGAAATTTGGAGGATAAGAATTTCTCATTGAGGCCTTTCAAAAATCGAATAACTTAGCCTTGCTCGCGATATCATTTAACATATGAAACAACTCCACATGAATACAAAATTGCATAATAACAAGATGGAGTTGGACGATATTGTTCCAGTTCATCCTAGAAAACTTTGAGTTGAGTAAAATAATCATAAACTATTAGGTTACCTTGTCAGAATTTGTAAAGATTTTCTTGGATGTCGAAGATACAAAAGATGTCACCTTGATAGAACCGTGTTTGCAAATGTGCCCAAACTCCAACAGTAGTGTGGAACCAAGAACAAATTTGGCGATTGATTCAAAGATTGATGGAAAAATCCAAGCAAGAACTATGGTATTGCATCGTGTCCATGGTGCATGGAGAGGGTCAGTAGGTAAGGGTTTTATGAGGGTTCCATTAATGAAGTGATGTTTGTTCTTCAAAATAAAGGCAATCTCCATTTATCTTGACCATGTTTGATAGTTCTTGGCATAAAAAAGGGGGTGAAACAAGAACAATAGCTGAATTCTCGTTTGAGTGAAGGTAATAAGAATTTGCGAAACTTGTGGCAAAATCAGGGTAGCTTAAAATAACCATTGAGAGAAGTTGATGAAAAATGGCTACAAGAGCATGTATGCTACTGATACCATGTTAATGTATAAATGCTGACAGAGCGTGAATGGAAATCATCTTCATATTCAATAGTGGTTAATGTTCTTATTACAAATAAGAATCAGTAGTATAGCCTTTATATTTATATGCTTAAGACTAACTCTAACAAACTAGTAACTAAAAAAAAAGAGAATTTCTTTTTACACCTTTTTATGTTGAGTTACACTTCTGAAAATAAAAAAATACCATATCCGAACGTATCTTGCGAATTTGGAATATTAGGTTATTTCGGATATGCATATCCGAACGAACCTTTATATTTCATTTTCAAGGAGATTTCAGATATACATGTCTGAAATAACCCAATATCCCAAATTTCTTTTGGATTATTTTATTTGATTTTATTTTGAAAAAATATTTATTTATAATATAATTATAATATAATTAAGTTGAGTTATTATTAATAAAGAATAACTTAAATTTATAATTGAAAACTAAATATTAAAATAAATTTATGATATGAAATTAAATAATTAATGCAATAATTAAATTTCTAATTATAATAGTGAAATGTAATTATCTTTTAATTTTTTATTTAAAATTATGAATAACTTTTGATAAAAAATATTTTTTAATTGTAGTTTTAAAAGTTAAATTTAATAAAGATGACTATTTGTAATTTTTATTATAGAATTGATAATTAATTATTATGTTATAATTAGAAATTTTATTATATTAAAAAATATTTATATCATAATTAAAATTTGAATGTTATTAATAATTAATAATATTAAAATAAGACATTTAATATTAAATGAATAGATTCTTGTAAAAAAATGATAAATAATTTATAAACTATATATAAATCTCAACAAAAAAAAAAGGAAAGGTTAATGGGCCTAGATAAATAAAGTGACTAAAAACAAAATAAGAAGAGCCCAATAAATTTGACAAAATTTAATTATTATAGATACAAGAGAAATTAAAATATATAAATAGAGTTAAAGCAAACTAGTGCACCATCTTTTGTTTCTTCGATCTCTTAGAGGGATCACCATTTTTCAGCGAATACAAATTAAAGAATTCATTCTAAATGAATTTTTCTTGGGAACCATTTTGCGCCCCTTTGAATGAAAACGAGGTAAGATTCTATGAATCTTTCGAACAAGGGAATGTGGGGGATTTTGTTCGCATTAAGGTACGTGTTAAACATGAACTATGCATCACTCCCCAACAACATCCTTCTTTAATTTTACCTTTTGATCGGTTTATACATGAGCGAATCATGCTTGTTCCTTACCAAGATTTTCTTCAACATGCTTTGATATACATGCAAGTTCACTTTCCTAATGTTATCATCCCCCATGAGTTGATGTACACAATGCTGCCGTTTTTAATGACATGTGTAAGGGATGCACGAAGTTCACCTTCCGGATTTTACTATGAAAGTCCTCGAATTCGTGTTTTTCCTCTAGGTTTGAATGTTTTTGTTCGAATGTTATTTGGTCAGAGTAACAATGCTTCCATCAATAACATAATCGCCAGGTTAGATTCTATGGGAGAGGTGCAATTTGTTCCGGCATCAAAGGAAGCCATTGAGTCTCTTGAGAAGGTGAAGATCCAAAACTCTAATGCCATTGAAAAGTGTAGTGTCTGTCAATTTGAGTTCAATGTTGGAATGGAGGTCACAAAAATGCCTTGCAATCATTTGTATCATCAAGAGTGCATTGTTCAGTGGCTGGAAACTAATCACATGTGCCCAATGTGCCGCTACGCAATGCCAACTTCAACCAGTGCCTGATTTATTTTATCTATTTTATGTTACTTCATTTTGTTTGAAATTTTATTGTATTTGTTGAATTTTCCAGTTACATTGAATTTTTGAGATTCTCTTATAATTATTTCCCTTATACTCATAAATTTTGCATGTATTCTCTATATGGATAAGTTCAAATGGTAGTGTTATTGTGAGTCAACAATGAGAATGATAGATATATATCAATAAAAATAAAACGCTTATTATCCTTTAAAATACTTATATATACTTTTATAGGTAATTTAGCAATAAATTAAATGACGATATTACATGAATCTATATACTTTTTGACTAAATTTATGCCATTATTAAATAGTGATGTATTTATTTTGACTAAAAGAATATTATATCAGTACATTTTCAATAAAATAAACAATACTAGTTGGAATGTAATAAAAAAAGGAAAATTATGGGTATCCATGCATTTTCGTTGGCTAATAGTATCTTTTACAAAAATTATTTAAATATTTAATTTTTTTACAATAAATTATTATAAAACAATGATTATTATAATATTTAATAGTTAAATTATAGATAGGTATTCAACCGAATTCTAGAAGTACCAGAATGTTCACTTAAAAAAATCGATATTGACCAATTCTTAGAGTCTATTTGAGAGTAAGATAAGAAAGAAATATAATAAATATTATATTTTATTTTAATTTAGTATTTAAAGGAAGGTAAAATACTTTTTTAATTTAGTATTTTAACTTTAAAAAAAATTCATATTGGTCTCTTAAATTTTCAAAATGCTTTATTTTATTTCTTTTTATTTAATTAGCGACAGAAAAATTCAGAAATCAATCGTTAAATTCATTGTTAATTAGATAAAAAAAATTAAAATAAAGCATTTTAAAAAATTAAAAAATCAATATAAATCTTTTCTATATTAAAAGACTAAAATAAACCTTAACGTTAATATACAAAACTAAAAAAAGATATTTTATCTTAAAGAAATATTAAGATATAATAAATTAATTTTAAATTTTATCTTGTTTGAAACTCTTAATCTAGACATGAGTTGAGTTGTTACTCAATAAGATAAACTCGAAAACAATTTATTGATTTAATATTATATATTATAATTTAAAATATAAATAATAAATAATATAATAATTAAATATTAAAATAAATAATAATTTGTGTATGATTTTTACACAAGAGTAATTTTGTAGTAATAAATCCTAAAAGGAATAGAAAATAAAAAAAAATAATAATACCAATGATTTAACAGATTAAATATAATTTTTATATAAGGATAGTTTTGTCCTTTACATATTTTATAATTCTTACCTGACATATAAAATATGATTATTTAGTTACTCGTAATTTTTTAATTAAATTTTTTATTAAGTTGTGGCAAAGAATTTTTTAAAAAACTATTTAAAATTATATAATTTATTGTATATTTTTATTAATTTATAAAAATCTTAAAATATTACAAAATAATTTGGAAAGAAAAATTCTATCAAGTAAATATGATATTTTCTATCATATTATTATTTTAATAATAGTAAACATATAGAAATAAAGAAAAGTTAGAAAAAACATGCTTTGATAAGTGTTCAAGAAAATGAATAAAACTTAAAAACTAAGAATTATAATAGAATATAAACACTAAATATTGAAAAAGACTAAACTACTTTTATTAGAAAATATTAAAATTATATAATAATATTATTCTAATTAACCTCCCCTCTTAAATTTAAGGTGTATTAACTAGGAGCATTCAAGTTTTTTCAATCAAGAAACAAAAATATTTAATGTTAAAGATGATATGAAGTAACAATGAATTTTAATGTATATCGTGTGTTAATTAAATATTGAGTTGTGAGTAATTTAAATAACACTCTTGTTATAACAATACAAAAGAGTTAATTTAAAAAGATAGACATTCATATCACAACACTTAGCTTTTATATAGTATAAATATCATTTCTTACTTTTCTAAAAAAAAGAGTCACTAAAATACAAAAATATGATGTAGACTTGCGATTAGTAGAGTAACTAACCTATTCAGCATCATAATAAGAATACAATTCCAATAGGAACGATGAGGAAAATAAAAGGCTTTGAAACTGAGTGTCTTGAAAATTTTAACAATTTAATATTATAGTGGGAGAAACAACAAACTAATTGACAATATGAACAATATAAGTAATACCAAGTCCAGTAATCGTGTGACATATCAATGTGTTGAGTAAAATACGATTAAAAGTGAGATTTGGTAGAAGAGCATCATTGGAGGGGTTATATTTCACATTTGCCTCAAGATGACTATTTGCTGCTCTAGTATGAGAAGGATAAGTTATGGGTCTATGTGCTTACAAACAAATGCATGAAACAACCTTCTCTGGTAGCGGTACTTATAATATTGATTTGGAGTTTTCATTTAATGAAATCTTGTCAAGTTCAATGGTTTATTTAAAAGTTTTTGATTTTGAGTTATAAGAAGTATGCATGTGGAATGAAGGAACTATTTGACATTTGTGTTGATCTTGTTTTAGAATAAACAAAAAGATAAGTGAAAAAGAGTTGATAAGTGTTAAAATCATGCAAAATACATAATTTATTAACTTATTTTGTAAGCAATCAATGAACCCCCACCCCTTTAATTTTTCAGGAAAATAGGATAAAACTAATGAGCTTTCTAAGTGTATATTAATTAAGTACATGCAGAAAGGAGCAAGAAAGCATAAAAATTGACAAAATGCATCATTCATGCACCAAAGATTGCTAAACCATAAATAGGAAGCAAAAAATCGCTAAGCAAGAAAAAGACAACAATAAATAGGAAGCAAAAACTCGCTAAACTTCAAGGTTAAGTTACTTCAAGGGAATGTAGTGATCAGCTCACTAAGAAATATGGAAGCGCGCTAAGCGAGGTTAAGGCGACCAAAACCACTTGAATGAGCAAGCATGAACTGATGGTAAAGAAAGTAGGCGCGCTAAACAAACTCCGAGTCTCACTTAGAAAAAATAGCATACCAATATCATACAAATAGGAGTTCAGGCTGTTAATTTTGAAATATCTTGTCAAATATTTCAAATATATTAGATAAATCTTGTTAGGGCCTAACATAGTTACTTTAGTAGGGAGTGAAAAACACATTATGAGAGAAAATTTGAGAGAGTCTATAGGTAAAAGTGATGTTCGAATCGTAAATAGGTACTTCTCGAGATCTTTCTCTCAGGGCTTAAGTGTAAGACTATGATGAGTAAGTGTAACTAATTTTCTCTTTTGTTAGGGTTAGATTTAGTTGTCCTAGTACTCATGTTTTGATCACGACCATGGAATTCTATGTAATTCTTCTTAATCTTTAATATTGATAAATTCTTTATTATTAATGCTTATTTTGGATTAGCTACCTAAAACAAATTTTTATGGTATGACTTGATGTTCAAAAGATATTGGTCATCATTAGATCCAAGTCTTTCATCAATTGGATATGCTAAAGTCTAGACATAGATTTAGGCTTGAAACAACCTGCTGAAAATCATCAAAACAATGAAGCCGCCATCAAACGTTTTTTATCCCACGGGAAGGGAAAGGTAAACATCGAGAAAACCTGAGAAGAGAAAAGTCACGGTCTTGCGACCGAGAGATAAGGGTAAGGGAGTCTATTATGCAAGGGGAAGGTATTAGCACCCCACACGCTCGTAGTACTCTATGGTATCCACTCTTGTTATCTATCTTATGGGTGTGTTCAATCTATATCTAAACTGTACAGGAAATGCATGCAAAAGAAAAGAGAAAATAATGTAGGGAAAACTAAAGTTGTGCTCGCTCGGGCCCTACCCTAATGTCTATGTATCCCTTTTAAGGAATCAGAGCAGCCGTAGTTCGGCTCATATGTTTTTGTTTGTTTGTTTTTTTAATGAACAATATTAATTTCGCCTTCTGCCGTAACTCGACCTTTGGAGATTTACGCGTCAGCACAGAAGTGAATTAATATGCTCTTGTGAAAAGGTTTTGAAAGAAAGGCCCGAAGGAAAAAAAAAGAGTTTATATTGGTTGGTATTTTTACTTGTGGATAACAACTAATTAATCTCAAGAGAGACATATTAACCATTTCTCTACTTTTTATGAAATGAGTCTTTGAGACTTGAACCATACTAAGGCTTAGAATGGAAAAACAATAAGATCGAGAAGAGACCCGCTTATCATTTCCCATGCTCAACAAATGCACGATTCTCATCAGTAATTTTTAAGTGTTTTTGAAGTTTGCAAGAAAAGAAGTTTTTGTTTTAAATGCATATGCAAAAGGAGAAAGAAAAGTCAGAGGGGGACTAGCCTATTTCTAAACCTAATGTTATCGTGCATTGTTAGACCTAAAGTTAGAATTTTGAGGGAATTCTACCTAATGTTTGCATGCTTGGATTTATAATCCTAACGTCCAATTTTGATTCAATTGAATCGAAGATTAAGTTTGAACAAAATATCCTAAGGGATCATGACAGACTATACAAACAAGTAAAATTGTTAGCAAGTATTAAAGTATTACATACGATCCTGTTGGCTCCTAAATTCGACACCTTTGTTTTGTTGATGTCAGCCATTAAGGCTGAAGGATGTTTTCGACTGGCTAAGTCTGTCGAAATGCCCGTCGAAAGATGGCAAAGTACTTAGAAGATTTCTTCCAAGGGAGAAGTTGGTTGCCTTCGACGTCGAAGGAGTCTCTCGTCGAAGATGTCTCTCGACGAAAGTGTTCGATGGTTCAGAGTGGAGCAGTTTGAAATTCAAGCGTTTGGAGGGAAAACGGTTTCCAGCAGTTACCACGTGCAAACGTGCAAGGATCTGGAGCGTCGAACGTGGAGAACGTGCCAAGTGGATTGATCTCGAAGTAGTGTAACTGCCTGACGGTTACTTGGGATGTTTTAGTATAAATAGAAGTAGACATGTAGTTTCTCGCGTGTGTTCACAATTCTATACAAAGTCACTCATATAGATTCGAGTACCCAGCGTGCGAGAAAGAATTGTTGAG